TACTACTACTACTACTACTACTACTACTAATAATAATAATAATAATACTCCTACTTCTACTACAACAATCCACACCACTTCTACTACTACTACTGGATTCAGTTCAATTCGATTCAATATACTTTATTGATCCCCAAGGGGAAATTTCATAATTTATTACTATTTATTATATTTATTATATAATTTATTACAAATACTATTACTACTACTACCACTACACTACTACTACAACTAGATCAATACTGCTTCTACTTCTACTACTTTTACTACTACTACCACTACAACTAGATTACTAATACTAATATTAATACTACTATTACTGCTACAACTACTATTTTTAATAATACTGCTTTATCTACTGCTGATCTTCATTCACATCATAAGGTTTCTAAAATTGTTATGAAAGCTTTGATTCTCTCAAAAGATTTTGAAGAATTCAAATGTGTTTCACTGAGTTCATTACAAGAAAATACATTTCTACAAAAATCTTTAGGTCTAGTTAGGACTTCGTTTACTGGTATACTGCCAAATTATTTTTTTTTGCATTTGACACATGTCAAAGAAAGTTTACACTCCTACATGTTTTGTTGGATCAAATGACCATGTTCCTGCAGAGACAGATGTGAGCATCTGTAATTATTGTTTTATATGAATTCCTCCAAAAATATAAACACATAGTAATGTCATGAATGTTATGGCATTATGAGTTTCAGGTGTATTTGATCTTTAGTTTCAAACTGAAACACATATTAAATTAGAAAAATATAGTCCCCATTATAGGCAGCACGGTGGCGCAACTGGTAGAGCTGCTGCCTCTCAGCGAGCAGGTCCCTGGTTCAAACCCCGGTCCAGGGGCCTTTCTGGGTGGAGTTTGCATGTTCTCTCCGTGCATGCGTGGGTTTTCTCCGGGTACTCCGGTTTCCTCCCACAGTCCAAAAACATGCATGTTAGGCTGATTGGTAACTCTAAATTGTCCCTAGGTGTGAGTGAGAGAGAGAATGGTTGTTTGTCTCGTTTGTCTCTATGTGGCCCTGTGATGGACTTGCGACCTGTCCAGGGTGTACTCCGCCCCTCGCACAGTGATTGCTGGACATGGGCACCAGCGACCCCCGTGACCCAAAAATGGAATAAGCGGGTAAAGAAAATGGATGGATGGATAGTCCCCATTATATTTCAGTAGGTAGAAATAAAATTGTCAGGAGCTCACCTTCACTGCAGTTTGTTGAATTGCTTGGTGGAATGACATACGGAGACCCAGATTCTTCACTGTTGAGAGACAAACATCATAAAATGCTGAAGTGGACTTACGATGCTCAACGTGTTTTTATGAACTGGAACAAGAGCAGCTTTGCATGATTCACAATCATTTAAAAAAAAAAAGTCTAGTTGTATCAAAACAGTACATTTTAAATGAATTTCTATCCGAAACCATCACAAGCCTGCCTCGTGTGAATAGAAGGAATAAAAAAACATTAAAATCTTAGGCAGGTATGTAGCAGCAGCTCAACCTCTTTTATTAAAATTTCCTCAAGTTTATTACATATGTTTGTTTGGTAGCGGGATTGTTCAAACTATAGAGAACAATTTTTTATTAAATTTTTTAATCAAAATTCAGTGCATTATTCTAAAATATCGATTCAGATATTGATCTAAATCAAGATATTTATCGGGGTATGGAATCCATTAAATCTTTTATTTTTTATTTTAGAGCATAAACAAATAATCTACTTACCATGATGCACCCTGTGGACCAGAATAAATGCAGCTATTTTCCCCTTCTGGGTCACTGTTGCACTGCTGAATCGAATCTAAGTAACGCAGTCAATTTAGTAGAACAAAGGATCCTATGAGGTCAATAACCATTTTTTTGTTTGTTTGTTTTGTACAAAATGTGCACCACTCACTCAGTTTATCTGCCTTGTTTCCCACCACTGTGATGTTGGAAGAGTTTTTACTGGCTGCACAGAGTGTTTGGAGGATGCGACATGCAGGCACACTCTGACTGAGCCGAAGCATCACGGAGCACTTGGTATTACTAAACGCAAGATTCACAAGAGTCAGTGTTAGATAAATGATTATGATCTACACTAGTGCCAAATATCTGCCAATAAGTCATTAAACTTACTTTATTGCTGTTTTTTCAGTGCATGAAACTTCCATTCCCTGTGAGAACAGCCGTCTGGGTTACACAACATCCTATTTAAATATTGCAAATCTATTGATACACTTCATAATCACTTACTTGAAATAGGGAGACTGTTGTTCCATTAATTACCTCACTGAAAAAAATTGTTGAGACAATTATTAATATTTTAAGTTATTGGGGATACACAGTAAACACGCTGATACTGTAACTTTTTCCAGTTTTGTTTTTCACAAGTTTGGTTCTTTAAAAAAGCATCAATTCTGTAACTGCTGCTTGTGTTTGCACAAAGCACAGTTGAAACTACAAGCAGAAATTATTGCTAGAGTCTGCATTTTTATAATTTGTCAGTTGTATATAGAAGTTTTATGCAACAATACTAAAACACAACATGATCTTTCATTCATTCAGTTTGTTTTTTGTTCATTTGTTCAGTTATTCTCTCTTTTTTATCGTACCTGCTTTGTGTAACACTGTTGCTAACGTCCCGACGTACACGTATATTTGTCTGTAAAGATGCCAATGTGCTCACAGATCCAGCAGGTAAGGTTAAATTCAAGTTGTTGCTCTGTGTTACAAGTGATGTGGTGGTTGGATTTGTTGTAGTTGTGTTGCTTCCATTTAATGTTGTTGTTGTTGTGGTTGATATTGTCTTGTTTACATTTAACACTGTTGTTGTTTCATCTGCAGTTGTGTTGCCATTTGAAGTTGATACAACTGTGTTGTTGTTGCCATTTACAGTTGCAGGTGTTGTTGTGTTGCCACTTACAGTTTTTGTTGCAGTTGCCAATGTATTGTTGCCATTCAAAGTTGTTGTTGCATCTGTTGTTGTGTTGTTACCATTTAAAGTTATAGCAATTGTTGTAATGTTACTATTTACAGCTGTTGTTGCAGGTATAAGTGGGTTGTTGCCATTTAACATTGTTGCAGCTGCAGTTGTGTTGCCATTTAAAGTTGTTGTTGTAGTAACTGTGGTGTTGTCATTTACAGTTGTTGATGCAGGTGTAGTTGTGTTGCCATTTACTGTTGC